TTACTCATAAGTAAAATATCAATACAAAAGCTTTAGATCATATAGAGCGGCATACTCGTAAATCAACAAAACTAGAATAAATAATAACATTATAAAAATATGTGCAACAGCCATAAGGAGATGATTTTGAAATGAGAAAATATATATAAATCTGGTGCCAAGACTGATAGTATAAAAATAAGGCGAAAAAAAAAATATTCATATTATTGTTTTTATAAGATGGAACCGGCATCTGAAAATTTAGTTGTAAGTTTGTACAAAAGAAATTTCTCAATATCAAACAAATAATCTTATCGTATTTTATATGATCTATTTTTATTTCATAGGAATGTTCATGTAATTACAATCGTTATGCAACAAAAAAGACAATCGGTAAAATACTATTTTTCTTTTTTTTTACAAAACAGTATAATTTTACTATTGGAATTTTTTTTTCATCTCTATTCAGGTCATGGTTTATTAGAATTTGCTTTACTTAGTAAGTTAATATTTAAATATTTCAAAGGAATATATAGCAGATATTAAAATTCTTGTTTTTATTTTCAGCAAGTAATGCAATGCAATTACGAACATTAATAAATCAAAAACAACGTGATACTATTTGGCTTGCATCATTAGTTCTTGTTTGTATTTCAATTCTTGCACAGGTACTTTTAGCTTATATACTTATTATTGTTGGAAAAGGTAATATTCAAAATCCAGAAAAACAAGAAAAATTAGAAAAATATAATAATATTGCATTATTTATTACAACATTAGTATCAATGATAAATGTTATTATTAATATGTTTATGTCAACAACAAGTTCAACTAGTTATTTAGATACACAATCATTAGAATTATTAAAAAAACAGACATGAATAGCAAAAAAAAAATACAAAAAGTTTTAATTTTATCGAAATTTCTGTGCAATATATATATATGACTAGTTGGGGGATGAAAATATACAAATACTGTAATCAAGAATATCAATAAATAAAAGTTGCTCTTTGTACTTTTTTTTTCCGAATATATTTCGATTTTTCTATCTCATTTGGTTGTTTTTATGTGTTGTATTTTATTCTTTAAATCTGTGTTTCTTATCTTTTTCATTAGATGTTTATTGTCATTCTTAATTTCTTATCAAAAGTTATATTTATGCTCAGAAGAAAAAATAAATATCTTAACTGACTGTGTTTGTAAGTTCGTGTAAAAAAACAAAAGATGTGACACGAGGAGTTTATTATCTAATTCTAGTTCAGAAAAGAATAAATGAAATTATTTAGCAAACTAAAATAAAATGACGTTTTCAAACAACGCACCCACCTGTCACGTTATCGTTACAGTATAAAAAATATACGCAGCAAAAGAGCAAATGTTAGAATCTAGAATAAATCTAACACATATAGCAGTCCTAGAAAAAAGAATAAGAATAACCTTCATGTCTTCACATATATTCTGATAGGAACATTCTTTTTTCTCTCGCTCACTCATTCTGTTTTCTCTTTTCTTTTTTTTCCTCTTAGTATGAATCTATTGTTCGCACTATATCATAGTATTTATTTGCTGTGCATGCTAGAGTGCACGTCATACGCAGAAGCATAAAATAAAAAGAACATTCCAAAACACTAATAATAATACGTTGTGTTTTTTTTTTCTATTATTAATTTTTAACAGATTAAATTAGAACCTAACGAAAATATATAAGGTAACGTTTTTCATTAATGAGTCAAACAATTATTCGAAATTCTAATCCATTTTGGATTGATGAAACACATGATTTTATTACATCTTTTCTAAAACATCCACGTATTATACATGCTGA